AGACCATCCTGGTCAACATGGTGAAACCCTGTCTCTACTAAAAATATAAAAATTAGCTGGGCGTGGTGGTGGGTGCCCGTAGTCTCAGCTACTTTGGAGGTTGAGGCAGGAGAATCACTTGAACCCAGCAGGTGGAAGTTGCAGTGGGCCGAGATCGTGCTACTGCACTCCAGCCTGGTGACAGAGAGACTCCATCAAAAAAAAAAAAAAAAAAGAAAGAAAGAACAAACCATCTCAAGCCATATGCACATCTGCCCCTAAATCCCAAGGGACTGCACTAAAGCACTGAGTCTGTTTTGGGCACCTTACTTTGGGAAGTGCTGACTGCAATGATAATGACAGTGATGATAATAATAGCAGCTAAAACATGCTTATTATTTCAGGATTTCACAGACACTTTGCTCAGCACTTACTCAATCCTCACACCAACCCTATAAAGTATGTATTAATATTTTCCTTCAACTCTGCATATGAGGGAAATGAGGCTTTAGAAAGGTCATCTTGCCCGAGTTCACATGGTTAGCTAACTAGCAGAGCTGGGGCTGGAGCCCAGATCTTGAACATCTAGGAGATGTGCCATGACGTGCCAACAAGGCCTCCTCGAGCCAGGGAGATGCGGCAGCTTTCTGGACTGTTCTAGCAGGTGGAGTAGGTCCAGTGACTCTGTGAAGAGGAATGCAGGGAAGTGGAGGCCCTGCGGAGGCCATCCTCAACCCTGGGCGCCAACAGCCAACACAGCAGCTAGGAGGAACATCTTTGTATCAAGAAAAAGAACGCACAGATCAATCATGACCATCCACTGGGGAAAGAGTAAGCTCACTTTAACTCAGATTCCTGGACATGCTCGGGGCCCAGGCCCTCTGGCTGAGAAACACTGCCCCATGCTGGCCATCCAAAATGTCACCCACATGCCAGGTACTGTGAGTGCACGTGGGGCACAAGTGCAAAGAGAAAGGCGGGGCCCCCACCCTCCCAGAGTCGAGCCTACTTGGGGCCAACCTACGCTGGGTCTCCTGGTCCCTCTCCTTGGTGGCAGAAATAGGTTTCCAACAGCCTCCAGTTTTGGCAAGACCTGCTCGTCCTGCCTGGTGGGCAGCTGGAACCTGGGGGCACAGGCTAGCGGCCATCACAGTCACACAGCTCAGCACCAAACAAAGCTGTCTCTACTTAGGGTTTCTCTCCCTCTGAATTTAGTGACCACTCCTGCTTCCAAAAGAGCCTTGTACAATGTGAAACTTTTTGGAGAAGTTGCTGAAGAACAGCTATGAAGATGCACTCATTGACTCCACTGTGCTTCCAGAATTAGAGATGGGAAGTAAGATAGACGGACTTCCCATGTGTCATTTAAATGTCGTTTCTAACATATATTTTGGGAGTGACTGTCTTCTGATTATGCTCAATTGTGGGCTGAAGTGGGTGGCTCCATCTTTATTGCACAGGCCGGGCCACAGGGGTGGCAGCAGCTGGAGGAGATGCTACTTCCCCTGTCCTCAGCCAGAGCCTGCTCTGTCCCTGGCTTGGGTGGCTTGGGCCAGTCCTGTTCAGCCAGGACTACCCTACAGAAGGTCGTATGTGTCTGAGAGGTGGACAAAGGCAGCCTGGGTAAGCCCACTCCAGGATACCCCCTGCCAGCCCCAGAGAGGACCAGGCTCCACCTGGAGTGGACAGAAAACCCCACATTCCCGTCCCGGACAGAGTCAGCCCAGGGCAGGATTCTCTGGCCACTGTGGTCTGGCTTGAGTGTCTCGGCTGTTAGGGGCTGGTAGCACAGCTAGCGCTGGGCTGGGTGGCGTTGCTTCAGTAGAAGGAGATTCTGAAGGAGAATGGCCAGTGTTTATAAGACTGAAGCTGGAACAGAGCACAGAGAGAAGTCTCCCTTAACTCACTATTTTGAGACAATTCCCTGGCTTACAGACCAGGTCCAACTCCTCATTCTTTCAGGCATTGGTCATCTAGCTACAACTTATTTTTCCAGCCTTGACCGCAAACCCTGTGTCCCAGGCAATCTGGCCCAGCCAGGGTGCTGCAGACAGGTACGAGCTTTCCATATCTGGGCCCTTGCTCGGCTGTTGCCATGAACTCATCATCGACTGCCCCCATGGGACTGCTTCCTCCTCATCCTTTTGGGGCCCCAGTCAAAGGTCTACTCCTTGGCAATGCTGTTTGTGAGTCCCCAGCAGAGTGAGAGCCTCCATCTGTTGCCCTCCTGTGGCCCTGTGCCCCTCCTGTGGCCATGATCACCTCTTCCTTGTAGTGTCTCATTTACCCTATCAGACTGGGAAGTCCCTGAAGGGAGACTCCCCATGCTCCCTGCCCAGTGCCCAGCACACACTGCTCCTTCACACACAGGCCACTACGCATGCAGTGCATATGACTGGCATGACAGAGATGCTGTGGGCCCTCTCCGTTCTGAAGGCCTTGTCTGCAGACACAGCGGGAGGTCCTCCAGCAAGGTCACCTCAGTGCTCATTGCCTTCTTCCACCAAATCTGAAGGCGGGGGGATGAGGTCTCGGGGATTCATCCTGGCCACTAGGCAGACATCATAGCTGTCATGCATGAGGACGTTGATGGCTACAACATTCCACTGGTTTTCCCATGGGTCCAGTTCCAGTATTTCTTTGGAGATAACCTCATGGCGATCTGAAAAACAGCAAAGTGGGAAGACAAAAATCTTATGTGGGTATTAAATTCAGAGGCCATCAGCACCATACTGAGTAACTTCCTCCAAAAGGCAATGTCTTAGTCCACTTGCTGTTACTGTAACAGAATACCTAGGACTGGGTAGTTTATCAAGAAAAGACATTTATTTGGCTCACAATTCTGGTGGCAGGAAAGTTCAAGACTGGGGATCTGCATCTGGTGGGTGCCTTGGCTGTTTCAACTCATGGCAGAAAATGGAAGGGGAGTGGGTGTTTGCAAAGAGGTCACTGGGACAGGGAAGGAGTAAAAGAGAGAAACCAAGAAAGTCAGACTGTTGTTGTTTTTGGTTTTTTTTTTTTTTTTTTTGTTTTTGAGACGGAGTCTTGCTCTGTCACCCAGGCTAGAGTGCACTGGCACAATCTTGCTCACTGCAACCTCTGCCTCCTGGGTTCAAGCAATTCTCTTGCCTCAGCCTCCTGAGTAGCTGGGATTACAGGCACGTGCCACCATGCCTGGCTAATTTTTGTATTTTTAGTAGAGGCGGGGTTTCATGATGTTGATCAGGCTGGTCTCGAACTCCTGACCTTGTGATCTGCCTGCCTTGGCCTCCCAAAGTGCTGGGATTACAGGCGTGAGCCACCTCGCCCGGCCACCAGACTGTTTTTAACAGCCCCCTCTCCCAGGAACTAATCCATTCTTATGAGAGCCCAAGTTCACCCCCAAGGGAGGGCATTAATCTATTCGTGAGGGATCCATGACCAGACACCTCCCACCGCCACACCGGGGACCAAATTTCAACATGAGTTTCAGAGAGAACAAACTCAAATCACAGCAGGACGTAAGCACCAAAAATTAATTAACAACTGAATAAAGATACTTTAAATGGAAGACAGTGTTCCTACTTCTAAGAAATGAAGAAAGGCCACGTTCACAATTCAGTCAAAAAGTATTCAAGAAGTTCTGATAGGGCATGCCGTTGTCTCCAGATGAAAAAGTGTTCCAATGCCATACAAATAATTAGCAATGATGCAAACAAGGGTTGAAACTGCCCTATTTCCACCCCTATAGAGGAGGCGTGGCTGGAGTCATGTGGTCCTGGGCTAGCGCTGCCCTCTGAGCTTGTGTTTGAGATAGGGACGCTGTCAGCTGGGGTCCTGTGGAAACACAGCACACTCCACCTGGGCAACATGAACGGTTCAGTCAAGGGACCTTTAGAATACTGTGAGCAGGGCTTAGGAAGGCTCATGGGGGATGGCACAGTACCCAGGACTAATCACAGCAAGGGGCTGTCACTGTCCCTAGACCTGGAAGGCGAGGGAGGGAGTGAGCACTGGAGCTGCAACAGGGGACCTGTCTGGGGAGCAGCACCTGGCTTGGGCAGAGAAAGATGGACATAGCCATCCTCAGCAAGGAGGCAGCAGGGAGGGCAAATACCCTGCATTTTTTCTCTTTTTATGTGAAAGTCAGGTGCAGGCAAGGGAGAGGCTCAGGAAAGCAAGGTTTCTTATCCTCACAGATCCCAGAGGCAGGAGGCAGAAGACAGGAGTGAGGGGAAGGTAAGAGTCCAGGCAGGGGAGAGTGGACACCTTAGGACTGGCTGGTTTGAATAATTTCAGTGGGTGTGGGACAGGAGTGGTCTCTGGTTACCTGGTGCCTGGCCCTGGGATGACTAAGGCAGAGGCACACTGTCTCCTGGGGTGTCGGGGCCAGACAGAGGAGGTGTGGCACTGGGCTGGCTCGTGTGCACAGCAAAGATGTGCTCTAGGCAGAGCCCTTTCTTGTCCTTAAGGACTGTCCAGCCTGGGGAGGGCAATCATTCCCCAACCAGAAAGGTCTCTTAAGATGTCAAAGCATCACAATCTACATAAAATTTTAAATGTTTACAATATACCCTGACTCTCCTTTCTTTTCACCTGATAATTTCCTGCTCTTTCCTCCTGCTAACTGAACCAACCGGAAGCCAGAGAGGAAAGAAACCATTAACGCTGTCTGTAGAGGCCATCCTGGAAGGACACAGCGAGAGGTGGGGAAGGGTAGCGGGTGAGTGTGGAGGGACAAACGGAAGATTTCCAGCTTGGATGCCTATTTAACAATTTTATGATAACTAAAGAACATAATGTGTGTAAAGTGCCCAGCCTGGTTTCAGCATGTGGAAGTCAATTTTTGAAAATGGTCCACGTGTGCTCATAAAGGATGCATATCCTGTAGCTGTTGGCTGTGGTGTTCCACGTGTTCATTAGGCCTTGTTATTCAACCCTTCCACATATTTGCAGGCACCTGCCACCACTCCCCGCTCATTTTTGTATTTTTATTACAGATGGGGTTTCACCATGTTGGCCAGGAGGGTCTCAATCTCCTGACCTTGTGAACCGCCTGCCTCAGCCTCCCAAAGTGCTGGGATTACAAGTGTGAGCCACCGCGCCTGGCCAAAAAGACAATCTTTCTCACATCTGGGTATGTATCACAAACATGCTGGAGAAAAAGTGGGAACTTTTGAGGAAAACTGGCAGGACACTGGATTACAGAATTTGTTTCCTCCAAAACCTAATGAAATAAATCCCCCATCCCCAAATATACTTGAACCCACTAACCAATCTCAGCAACATCAAAAGTGGGATAAACTTTTTAGAAGTAATTCTATTTATATCAGAATCTGTTATGTTAAAAATAATGACTATTGGATAGTATTAGGTGCTTTAAATGTATGATCTCATTTAGTCTTTTGAATAATCATCTGCAAAGGATTTATTATTTTCTCCATTTTGTAGAAAAGGTAACAGGTCCAGAAAAGCCAGTTAACTTGCCTCAGGATTGACAACTGATACATGGCAGAAGCAGGCTCTGAAGAAGCACATGGAACAAGCTGTCTTAGAAAGTCTAGAATCTGGGATGTATATCAGACAATAGTAAGGGATTATGTGCATAGGTGTGAATTTCGCACAGTACGTATATTAAAATATCCATCCAGTTAGAGATGGATATTAATGTATTTTTTGATAAAATGACCTGATTATTAGATTTGTTTTAAAGTACTCCAGTAAAGAAAAGTAAAAAGAAGAAAAAAAAAAGTACGTTTGGAAATAAGAACAGCAAAATTGTTGAAATTGGTGTGGTCAGATTGGCTTAATTGTATTATTTTAATTTGGTATATAATGTGAAATTTCTAAAAGTGAAAACCAACCAAAAATCTAAAACAGAATTTGTATGATTTTGATTGGATTTTTATTAAATTTATAAATCAGATTGGGAAAGGTAACATCTTAACAGTTTTCTAATCATGCAGCATGATATATTTCTCAATTTTGGGAGTCGGAGAAATGTTTTATGTCTTTCAGTGTAATTTATTTAAAATAACCCATTGGCTGACTCAGAGTACTGCATTCTTCCTGGCCACAGAAGGGTGGTTTATGGATGGAATTATAATCCAATCAAAGACAACTACACTTGGCCGGGCATGGTGGCTCACGCCTCTAATCCCAGCACTTTGGGAGGTCAAGGTGGGTGGATCACTTGAGGTCAGGAGTTCGAGAACAGCCTGGCCAACATGGTGAAACCCGGTGCTACTAAAAATACAAAAATTAGCTGGGCGTGGGGGCGCCAAACTGTAGTCCCAGCTACTTGGGAGGCTGAGGCAGGAGAATTACTTGAACCCAGGAAGTAGAGGTTGCAATGAGCTGAGATTGCACCACTGCATTTCAGCCTGTTCGACAGAGCGAGACTCCATCTCAAAAAAAAAAAAATAAATAAATAAAATAAAGTAACCCAATGATTACACTAGCAGTGCCAAAACTAGGGAATTCTGTTAGACCTCTTACTTCAAACCAAAAACTTTGAAATGTGCTAGAGACAGATTAATTTGAACCAAGCTTGTTTTATCTTCTCTTGTTCTATCTTCTTGAAATGGATGCTTAGTTCCTTTTTTTTCATATTTCAATGTCTTCTAACATGTGCACTTAAGGCTATAAATTTCTTCCGAGTACCTCTTTTTAGATTTCTGGTGCAGTTCACATTTCTCCACAGTTTGCAATCTCAGGCCTAAGTTCTGCTTTAACCCAAGACTTACTTAGGAAAATGTTTTAACCTCTCCAGCTGAGTGTATGTGTTAGTACACGCATGTGCACTTGACTACCCTTTCACTGAATGCTTCTAATTTAACTGCATTATGGACAGCACATATTGCTTCTATAATTTCTATTTTGGGAAATATATTGAGATTTTCCTTTGTCCTAATTTTTTGTTGTTGTTTTTCGAGACGGAGTTTCGCTCTTGTTGCCCAGGCTGGAGTACAATGGTTCGATCTCGGCTCACTGCAACCTCCGCCTCCCAGGTTCAAGCAATTCTCCTGCCTCAGCCTCCCTAGTAGTTGGGATTACAGGCATGTGCCACCATACCCAGCTAATTTTGTATTTTTAGTAGAGACGGGGTTTCTCCATGTTGGTCAGGCTGGTCTCAAACTCCTGACCTCAGGCAATTCGCCCGCCTCAGTCACCCAAAGTGCTGGGATTACAGGCATGAGCCCCCATGCCTGGCCTCTTTGCTGTAATTTATGGTTAGTCAATGTATGTGTTCTATAAGTGTTTAAAAGGAAGGTATAGGTTTTGTTTGCCTGGCATAAGGTTCTATATTTCTATGACATTTAAGTTGCTAATTATGCTATTTAAATCCTTGATAACAGTGCTGTCCAAGAGAACTCACTGTGATGAGGGAAATGTTCTGTAATCTGTGCTGTCCAATAGAGTAACCACTGGCCATATGTGGTGTGGAGTAATTTGAAATGTGGCTAATGAGACTGAGGAAGGGATTTTTCCATTTTATTTAATTTGAATTAGCTTAAGTTGAAATTCAGATAGATGTAAGTGGCTGCTGACCATTGTGCTGTGTTGGGCAGCTCAGTTCTGGATCTCTTTTTGCTTTAGCTTTAAAAAATCAATTAGATCCATGGATTTCTGAAAAAGTCCATGCAAATTTTGTGGATTTATCCATTTACGTGACTGTTTCCAATAGTTTCTGCTTTATATGTTTTAAAGTTGTGTGTTAAATGCACAAGGGGTCATGCCTGTTATTTCAGAGTTCTTGGTAGCAACAACAGAAACCAATGTTGGCCGGCTTTAGCAAAATGGGGATTTGTTGGAAAGAATGCAGTTCTCCAGACTGAGGAGAGCTAGAGGCCCAATCTGGCCAGAGAGCCACCACTGTTCCTTCACACTGCCTGCTGCAGCTGGTGGGCACAACTGCGGGACACACTGCTGACCCCTCTGGCTCCTGGAGTGAGAAGCTGCTTGGCACAACACTGGTACTGTCTGTCAGAGGGTAGCTGAGGAAGGCCCCGCTCCTGGCCTTCCAGTGGGAGCAGGGCACTGCATCCACTGTGAAGGGAGAGGGCTTGGACAATGGATGGCCCAAACAATGACAGGTGTCTGGTACAATTGTGACATCTTCTCAATTATCTTCCCACCCAGGTGAAGTAGCCTTTCCCATCTCATTCACTGCACATGTCTTGGAGTGCATCTTTTACCATTGCCATGGCTGGGTTTTGCTTTGTTTTGTTTTAGTTGGATGAAGGCTTTCAGTGTCCTTATTCAAATTAACGCAGGCTGGACCTTTTAAAATTTCAGAATAGATGGATTTTATGCATTAATTTGTTTGTTTCAGTGTTTATTAGGGAGGCTTTTTTTTTTAAACCATGTATACATATCACATCTTTCTTAGAAATCTCTTATTTACAGGGATGAAAATCATCACATTAATGCAAAGTAAAGAAGCTCATCAGTGAGTTTTCTGAACTGTGAATGAGATTGTGCTAGTTGGCAGATCTCTCCTATGGCCCCAGAGATGAACTCTCAGGAAGAACACACATGTCAACATTTCACCCTGAAGACTTTGTGCATCTTCTTGGGGTCATTCTTGGTGCTCTCCTAAGTTTTCACTCTAGCAGAGTTCCTAAAGCTCTGCTTTAGGAGAGGAGGCCAACTTTAGGAGAGCATACCAACTTTATCCCTGTCTTGCTTAACTTATTTTTCTGTGTTTATTTTCCCTTCATCTTGTTTCCTGATTGACTTTCATTTCTATCTGGCTGTGTTTGATGCTATGTGTGTTGTATTTGACCTTATTGTGTTGATGATGTGATGGCCCATGATAAGCCATCTTGAATCTCATTCTGTCTTGCATGAGTGGGTGTAAGAATAAATCACTTTAGGAGAAAGCGATTGGTATTTGTAGCCACCTATTTATGTGGGTTTGGGTTCTTGAGGTATCATCCACTAACAAGGAAGAAGAAACAGGAGGATGAACCCGTGTTAGCGCCACTCAATTCAGTTAACTTTCCAGAAACAGGCACACTTAAAGCACTCATTAAGGCAGTCAGGAAACTCTCCTGCACCTTGCCACCCCAATAGTAAGCAACTTAAAACACTGTTTTACAGGAAAACAGGCACAGATACATTATGGAATAAATAAGAAATTGACATGTTTTCTTAAGGTAAATAATAAGGTGTCATAGAAATTCCCTGTGTATGGTAGGCTGCCGTGGGCCGCACCTCATGCTTTTTAGGGGGTGCTCTCTGTTGCTGGAGGTACTTCAGTGGGGAAGTTTGAGAAACAACGCTTTAGTTTAAATTTCATCCTTGAACTCAGACTAGTCTATCAGAAAACTGAAGCCATCGGGTGCTTTTTCATCCCATGTAGATTTCCTCTGACTTGCTCTTTGGTGAAATACTAACTTGCTATTTTATTTATTTTAGGAATATTATTGAGGACATTTCCCACTACCCTATGTGAGGCTATGGGGAGAAGTTTCTCTCATGTTTAAAAGATGTGTGTCCTCTAACAAGGGATTTGTTCTTCCCTGGAGGATACTGCAAATCTGTAACAGAACATTCTTTTCCTTTTTGCTCTGGGCTCTCGTGAGATCAGAGATAAACTGGTGGTCTGTATATGGCCAGTGCATAAGAGCTTAGGGCATACTTGCATACCAACTTTACCTCTGTCTTGCTTAACTTTTTTTTCTGTCTTTATTTTCCCTTCATCATTTCTATCTGGCTGTGTTTGATGCTATGTGTGTTGTATTTGATCTTATTGTGTTGATGATTTGATGGCCTATGATAAGCCATCTTGAATCTCATTCTGTCTTGCATGAGTGGGTGTATGAATAAATAATAAACCATACAGTGAGTAACTGACCCCAGGCTAACTTGGCTAGCCCAGCTGGTTGGCTTGTCTTTGAGTAAGGGGTGGTACCTACCCTCTCTAGTGGTGAAGGAGCTACCTGTCAGTGAAAGAGGCAATTTAACAGCCCCTGACTCAAACAAAAAAGGGAGCATCATGACTGTCACAAATGGGCATGACCAGCAGACGGCCCTGGCCAGTGGAGGAGGCTGATCATCCGCCAAGTGGGCAAAAAAAGAAACAAATGAATGTCTGTATGTATGTAGTTGCTTACCTGCAAAAGAAGTGGA